AGACTCTGGTGTGACAGAAAGAAGAGCTTGGAACTATTTACGCCCTGGAGTGAAGTTCATGAAATGAAATATCAAGCAGTTTAGTGTGATCTGGGGCGGTAGCAGCAGCAAATGTAGCTGAGATATGCTGAGCCTTTCGCCAGTGGGGAGAGTGTTAGTAAATGAGCAGTCCAGTAGGTATCACTCAGATTTTTCTTGCTGCATTTAAAAGTGCATGTGAATTGAGGCTCCCAAGTGTGAAGAGTGTTTTTTTTCCCCTCTCCATGAAACCTTGGTACCTTCAGATCTCTCAAGAAGACCATACTGAACATGCCTGAGGTGATTTGTGCCTGCCAGTGAATGGTCATTACAGGCCACACAGCAGTCCTCCTGCTCTATGGCATCTGGGTATGGGGCAGCAGAAGAGAACCAGGTGAGGGAAAAGCTGAGTTAGAGTGCGAGGCAGAGCCTTGGGCAATGCCCTGCGCAGAAGAGGTGGGCTCCATTGCCCATACTAGAGGCCACTGGCATGCTAAAAAGCATCCCTTCAAGTACAGGAAACCCTGTAACTGTTTTCTGTGTCCACTTTCCTTGCTTCCTGGTAACACTTGAGCCTCCTCCATGCAACCTTCTGAAGACACGGTTCTTGCCCATCTGCAGACAACCCTGAGTCTGAGAGACAGTGGTTAAAGGCTCTGCTACCTGAGGAAGCTCTAAAGGAGAGAGAGCTTTGTGAAGTGCCTGCCTAAAGCTTTTGGAGAAGGAAGAAATTCTCAAGTTATTTGTACTTCGCAGGGATCCCTAGGACCTGTCCCCTGTTACTACACAGGGCATCCTGGACATCTCAGTGGACACAGCATGGACATCGGTACTTCCTTAGCTTCCGGATTAAGAAAGTCAGTACTGCGTCAGGACGGGAAGGTGTCCTTACTTAAACTGCCCATTTGGCTGGATTTCTCCCCTTAAAACAAACACTTCAGGATCTCACCGTAGAGAATTCTCTCATGGAAACGAGTCATGTCATGGGGAAAAGTAGACCGTTCTTGCAGTTCTTCCTTATTTGTGATTCATAAAGTAGTTGCAGTTCATCTTGTTTTTCCTTCATCCATGCATGCCACTCTTTGCCAGACATGGTATTGAGCACTGGGTACAAAGCTAAAGGAGATGTGCTTCTGGCCCTTTAGGTACTTAAAGCCTATTGGACAGCCTCTCAAGTAGCAGGAAATGACAGCAATGTGGAAAATGTTCAAATCCAAGCCTGCCCACAAGTTATCGCAGCCCAGAAAAGGAAGATCTAGTGCGTGTGTGGTATGGACTGAATTCTGTTTTCCCAAGTTTCTTGTGTTGAAACTCTAACACCATGCCCTGTCCTCCCCCACCCCCGTGAGTATGTTTGGACATAGGGCTTTTAGGAGGTAACTAAGGTTAAATGAGGTCATACGGATAGGTCCTAGTCCAATAGGACTGGTGGCCTTATAAGAAGAGGGTGAGAAAGTGACTCCACATTGCACACATTGAGGAAAGACCATGTCAGCACACAGTGGGGAGCCAGGAAGACCGCTCCCACCAGAGCCCAACCATGCTGGCATCCTGATCTTGGACTTCCAGCTTCCAGGGCTGTGAGAAAATAAGTTTCTGTTGTTTAAGCCACCCAGCTTGTGGTATTTTGTTATGGCAGCCCAAGCAGACTAAGACTCCGTGTGTGAGTGTGTGTGTGTGTGTGTGTGTGTGTGTGTGGAGGTGGCAGGAGAGCTTCTTAGAATTGTTGACACCTCCCCTGCCCCTGAAGAACTGCCTGGCTTTGTCATCCGGCCTTGAGGATAAATGTGGAGGGCTGGCTTCTTGTCCTTTCTAAAGTTCTTAGAAATTTTAAAAACAGAAGTGTTTCTTCTGTCACATCCGAGATGACTTCATCAGGACTCAGCAAAGTCAGACTAGGTGTCTACAATCCTTTCTCCCAACTCAGCCTCATCAGTGCCCAGTTTAAATCTCACCACTTGTGCAAAGCTTCCATCACTACCCATGATACAGCTAATATCTCCCTCCGTGGGAATTATTTAAAACCTGATAAGGACATTGTCATATGTTCATTTTGTATTATGCACAATTAGATTGGCTGTTGTATAATTCCAGAGGTTATGTCACTTACTTCTCTGCCTCTGTTCACAGTGAGGTAGAGTAGGGCTTGCCCACAGAGCTTAGTCCACAGTGTTTGTTGTTGCTCTAGGAATCAAACAGGCTTGCTAGATTTAGGCCCTGTCATTTACTATGTGACTTTGGGAAAATTCCTAATCTCGTTGAACCTGTTTCCTCATCTGTACAATGGTGATGATATTAGGGCTTATTTCATGGATTTGCTGGCACAATTAAGTGAGATATTGTGTAAAGAGTGATTGGCACAGGAATTTGGCCTTCAACAAGTGTTTAGTATAGGTTTTATTGAAAATTTTAAAATAGACGTATGTCTTCACCAGGCCCCAAGCTCTCATTTTCACATTTCCTCCTACATGGGCATTTACTGTGTAACTCGCCGGATCATTTACTGGAAAAATAAAAATAACTTGATGGGCTTTAAAGAGATCTTTTTCTTTTTTCTCTTTGAACTCTCTTAACATTGGGAAGATAAAAAGTTGAGGGGGATTAAAGAAGGAGAAGTGAGAAAAGAAAGGACTGAGAGAAGTAGAGAAATCACCTTTATCCTACTAGCTTCTTACCTGGCCAGCCTCCTGCTTGCTTCTAACCTTAGAGACCCGAGGGCCTGCGAGGAGAGGGGAACCAACCACATATGGCCAGGGGCCCAAGGCTGCAGCCTGGAGCACACACTTCCGCTTTAACAAAAGGGTTGCACATTGTGTGGTCCCTGCCCGCTGCAGTGAGCTGAAGCCTGTAAGAGAAGTCCAGAACTGAGGGATGGACGCCGAGTCTGCAGGGCCAAGTGAGAGCAGACCTATTCACCAAGGGCTTTATGAAGGTACTTGGGTGAACAAGCTTATCTGCTGGCTGCCCAAGCCCGTGAGCTCATGGAGAGCTCTGAGCAGCCTTGCAGCCTAGAAGAGACCCACCCCCTACAGCCAGAACAGGGAGGGGACTGAGAGAATAGCATTGCAACTCACCTGTGTCGATAGGGTTCCTCTGCTTGGCCCAGTCTGCTAACGCCCCTTCCAGAAACACAAGCCATACATGGGCTCAAGTGTGGTTTGCTTCTTGGCTTGCACAGAGAGATTTGGGAACAGATTGTATTTTGAAAACATTCCCATGAGCTTCAAAAAGGGATGAGAGGGTGGTAGACGGGAATAGCTAGTGGTGCACAATTAGAAACCATCGATAAAATTTCTGGAGATTTCTTAGGAAAGTCATACTTATCCATGCAAAGAACATGGAGAAGGGAAATAGAAAGTTATTCTACCACAGATGAGGGTTTAACCATGTGTAAGCTTACACAGGACTTCCCTCCAAGGCTTATACCATCCTGAATTACTTTTCAAAAGTCTTATATCCAAGGACAGCATTATTATTTTCAGGTAAAACTTATAATAATAGAATTTGAATTGATGTTGACCTATGATTATGTCTCATCTTTTCTAAATATTACTCGAAGTCTTCTAACTTCACACAGATATTGAAACTGAGGAACAAAGGGTTACAGAGCAAATCAGTGTAATCAACTCTGCGACCCAAGAGCACTGTGGGAAGATGGGAGGACATGGTTTTAGTCGTCCGCAGGAGGGGGACCTTGTCCTAGACTGCTTTGAAGAACAGGATTAGACTCATCCGGAGAAATTGCAGGGAGGAGGTCTCAGCTCAGTGCAGGGAGGAGCTGCCTAACAGAACAAGATGACCTGTGTGTGTTGGTGAATATTCAAGTTGAGGAAATACTCAAGCTGAGGGTGGATGGCCGTCACCCGAGGTTCAGAAGCGGGTGTGAGGTTTGGTACCCTGCTCCTGTGTTCTACCCCTGCTAGGGGCCCAGGGTGCCAACGGGGGGAGTGTGGCTGGCCTGATAGAACTCTCCCAAGGTTGAGACTCTGCCTCACCATTAGCCCCTGCAGGCTTCGTTCCTTATTTATTCTCTTGGTAAATTCGTCTTTCGTCAACTCCCTCAGCCATTGTGAGATCATTGAAACCTCTTACACCTGACCACCAACCACTTGGGCTAAGCTTCCTGAGGAGTGAAGTAGCACTTTATTCTGTTTAGTTTTAAATAGACCTCTTTCAAGTTTCAGTTATGGTGTTCTGGCATTTTGAGAATGATTCCAGTTTTCTTCGGGATCCTATAGCCTCTCCTAGGGTTTGCCTTCCAAACAGTGATCCTCATATATTAAATATTTTCTCATACTGAAACCTATTAGTCATCTTGTTTATTTTCCTGTCTTTCACTAGACCTTTTCCAGCTCTTTTTATACCTTTCTGAAGTGGGATGTCCTGAACCACATCTAGCCTTTCCAGCTTACATGCTCTCCAGTTTTATGGGTGGGAGTTTTACTCTGTGGGAGACAGTGTGGTCAATATGAAAATGCATGATTTTAAGGCATAGAAAACCCTGGATCTTCAGGGAAGTTATTTAACCAGCCATTTTGAACATCAATTTCCACATTTGAAAAGAGCAGTATGTGCCTCAAATGTTCATGAAAATAAACAATTTGGCATTTTTTAAAGCCAAGCACACTGCCTTGCACACAGTAAGCAGTGAATAAAGGAAAAAAAGCAAGAAAGAAAAAGTTCCCATTCTTGATGATAATATCTTGTTAATAATGAGGGACATATTTCATGAAATAGGTAGTAATGATTTCATAGGAATAATTATTTCTTTGACCCTCTCTGTAAGATTCAAATCTCAGTTGTCTTGGTCATAATTCATATAAATTCAGTATACATTTCAGTCATGTATATAAGAACATTGTATTCATTCATACGAGTATATTATTAAACATAAACTTACAGCCTTGCATCTTTACACACATAAATGAGTAATCTCTGAGAGATACGTAGAATTAGCCCATTATCTTCTGTTTAATATGCAGACAGTCTTGGCATGTCCCAGAAACTAGAGCTACAGCGAGAGAAGTGGGAGAGGAACCACTTGCCAAGCAGAAGCCTCTCCCGACGTTCCATCAGCAAAGAGAGATGGGTGGAGACGCTGGTGGTGGCGGACACGAAGATGATTGAGTATCATGGGAGCGAGAACGTGGAGTCCTATATCCTCACCATCATGAACATGGTATGTCAGACTCCATGGGGGAAGGGGCAGCTGGCAAACAGATCTCATTAGAACTGCTCCACCCTCCAAAAATAAGAGGCATTTTTTTGGTCCTTTTAACATAGAGGTATGAATCTATTCCTTGCCTAAGTAATTCAAAATGGAAATTCAGGACACCTTAGTCTTTCTCTTAAAAACGTGTATTCTAGGAAAATTTGTAATTCATCACATTTTCTAGTAGGTATATTTATCAAGTGACTCAGTGCTTTTAGTATGGCTTCATCTCACTGATTTATGTTAGTGCACAAACGAGTAAACCGAGGCAAAGAACTAGAACGTGATTTCCTCAAGATACTTAGAACTAGAATTGGAATAAAGTTAGCGACCCCTAATTTCAAGCGTCCCTTCTACATTTTTTATGTTTTCTGCCTTCCCAGAGAAAGTGTTAGTCCTATCAAGATGGGGAAAGATATTTACCTGAGTCACTGATAAGAAAGGAGAGGAAGACCCTGGGTCAGGGAAAGAATCAAAGAGAAAAAAGGTGCCAATCCCTGAAGCACACAGCCAATCGATCACATTGGAAAGCTTGCTTTCAAATATCATAATGTGGATTGGGCCAGGGCATGTCTCTTCTTTGCATGCCGCCAAAACTTCCTGACCTGCAAGATAACATTTATTTAAAGTGCATCACACTGCTGTTTGCCCACCTCTGGCATTTAGCTATTGTCTGTTCATATGAGCTAATGATTCTGCATTTCTGATTCTAGGTCACTGGGTTATTCCATAACCCAAGCATTGGCAATGCAGTTCACATTGTTGTGGTTCGGCTCATTCTGCTTGAAGAAGAAGAGGTAAGGAATAGTTTCCCCTCCACCATTCTGACCTGTATCTTCTCACTCCCTACCTCACTCCCTACCTCCCTTACTTAGAAGAGCTCTTGGTTACAAGAAAGAGGGTATCAGAAAGTGTTGAGAAGCCCCTGGAAAAGGAAAATAATATTTCTGTATTATTTTCTTGGGAATTCAGTGATATCAAGTGGGAGCTGGAGAACATTTCCGAGATCTACATATTGGAATCACCTGACAGTCATTGTACCTAGGAACACACAAACCAGATTTGTTGGCAGTGACTAAGAATGTCCCACAGTGGAAATAGACTAAATCATGGCATGGATGGGTGATTTCAGTAAGAGTTAGGAAAGACGTGGAAATGTTGAACCTTTATTTACCTCTTGCATATTAATACATGTCTCTCAGATCTGGGCCCGATTTTCCATCTGCACTTTGACCCTTGGGGATTCCATCTGTTCTCAGAGATTTGTATTCATCTACATGCTGGGACTCTCAATTCATCCTCAAGCCTAGACCTCTTACTTGAGCTCCAGACTTATATCCAATTGCTTGCTTGACATCTCAACCTGAATGTGTCATAATCCACTCAAACGTGGAAACTTAATAAGCCCAAAATGGAATTTTTGATTACTCTCTGCCCAAATCATCTTAATTCCGCCTCCTCCCTAGCCCCCAGTCCTCCATCTTAACCCAGCTCAGTAAACATTGCGGCTATGCAGTATTGCATAAGCCCTGGAATCATTCTTGATTTTCTTATCTTCACATCCAACGGCAAGGCCCATGGTATTCCTGCCTCCAAAATACATCTCAAAACCACCCACTGTTCTTCATGTCTACAGCCATTGCGTTGTTTTAGGCTTTATATCTTGTTTGGGCTACCACAGTGGACTCCCAAAAGCTTTTTTCTATTTCCAGCCTTGCCCCATAATCCATTCTCTATATAGCAGCTAGAAAGATCATTTTAAATACAAATTGAGTTGCTCCATTGCACAAAACTATTTAATGGATTTCTGTTGTTTTTTAGAACAAAATCGAAATTTCTTACTATGTCCTGCAGAGATTTTCATGATCTTTCTGGTCTTTCCTTATGTTGCCCTCTGCCTTGCTTCCGACCCTCACACTGACTGAACTCTGGGTAGGTTCTGGAACACACAAGGCAATCTTCAGCCTCATGACCTGTGCCCTCGAGGTCCCCAGTGTCTGGAACACACCTTCCCTGGCTCTGCTCCTGGTTGGCATCTCCACATCTCTCAGGCTTTTGTTTAAGTGCTGCTTCTTCAGACAGGTTTCAATGACCAACCTCCTCAAAGCTGGCCCCACTCACTGTTCTCCCTCACAGAAAGCAATTTACTTGCTTTATTGATACCACTCTCACAATTCCTTAATATTCTGTGTATATGTTTACTCCTTTCTTGTTTAGCTCAGCCACCATCAAAATATGAATTCCATGAGGGCAGAAACTGTTTCTTTATTCTTGTCTATATCCCCAGCACCTAATACAGTGCCAGGGACACGAATGAATAAACAAATGAATGAATTATGTGAAATTTAATGAATGAATGGACTGGCCAACCAACCTGAGGAAGCGCCTTTGCAATCTATAAAGCTTAACCAGCAGTTGAAATATACAAAGAAGGGCATCGTTCTGGTCGCCAACAGCAAGAGACCTACCTGAGGTTAGAATGCCCAAGACAGGGTTAATTGTTGTCTGGGCAGCAGAAGCCTCCACAGTCAGATTTTAAAACAATAATCTCTAGAGCCCGGATCCATTTTTCTTCTTCTCTTCCTCTACCAGGCCCACTTCCTGCTATCACTCAAGACATGCGCTGGGTATCTTGGAATATTTTGGATATATTATTTCTCTTCCTGTGAATATTTTGCTAAGAAAATTTATCTCAAACATCCGTAGAAACCAGGCAAAACCAAAACTATGTAACTTTTTAATGTCTAACATGACCTATCTGATTCTATGGGAATGTAGCCATGTCTGCTTATTATTTATTATTGATTAGGGCCTAGACAGGGTAAAGTTAGGTGTTTGCATGTAAAAAGCTGATAGGGTACAAGTGTTTTTTTTGTTCAGTAGAGATGAAAATGATTTGTGTCCAGCAAAGAGATAACTCTGAAAGTTGTGGTTTTATTAGTGTGTGGAATATTAACTAATTTTGTATCTAATTTAGCACTCTTGTTCCAGCATTCTCCTTTTTTTCACTGACTATAGTTGTGTCAATTTTGTGTATCTGCCTTTGAGCCATCTTGCCTGTCCCCTCATTAATGAGTTAAATACATCTTTAACATGTGCTTACTATGCATTTATATGAGAATTGTATTTGAACTTTTGACAATTATACTTTGATACCTCTGCCTGATTTTCACTGTTGTATGATGATCTAACATGTATGCATGCTTAGCCACAGAATGTGTGGAAGTTAGGGTTTTCAGACCTAAAAAAAGGTAGGTTATTCTGGGTGCAAGAAGGAAAAACCTTTACCTTTTGCAGTCTCACCAGTAGCAATATTAGGACCTCATAGAGAGGTGTTCATGGATCAGGCCCCTTAGAATACCACAATGCTTCATTCCCAGGAAATGAAATCTCCCACCAAAGTCTTGCTGCAGTAAAATCCTTGGGGATAATTTGTTGGGCAGCTACCTCCCTGACCCCATCACAATTATGTTGTTTTTCCTCTTCCCATCCTCATTTTGCAAGTGCAGAGATACAAGTGATTGGCTGTAAAAAAAGCCATGACTTCTTTTCTCCCGCTTGCCAAATGTCTTCCTCTTGCATGCTTTTATGGAACCTACAAGTGGCACAAGGTTCATAGTTTAACAACACAATTGCTAGCTCATTGTAGAGTTGCAATTCACAATTCTTATTTTCCTGGTTCGCAGAGAATGGCTCAAGCTATTCTTCACATCTTTAACTAACGAGCAGCCCCAAAAGCAACAAAAACAATAATTCTAGCCCTTAACTAGCATCCGGATAGCAGCTGTAGGCCGAAAGTGCAGTGTGAGGTATTGAGACATGAGTACTCCTATGAGCAAGGAGACCTGAGTTCTAGTCCTGATTCTTTCATCCAAGAGGTAGCTCAGAGAAAGTCATCATTGCTTCATCTACCATTTTTTCTCTTCTGTCAACGAGACGAGAGCTGTGGTACATCAGCCATATTTCAAACGTTGTGCTAGCCACTGACGGTACAAACAGGAATATAAGTCCCATTTTGTGATTCTGAGGAGCTTGGAGTCTACTGCACAAAAGCACAAAAAAGGCAATTTCAAACCGAGATTATCATGAGTATGACAAAAACTAAAAGAGTACTTGGGATAGGGAAGGATCTTTGGATGTCCAAACTGGGTTTCAGAGAACGAGAAGGAATTAACCAGTAAGGAAGGACATTCCAGGTAGAGGGACTTGCATGGGCAATAGCTTTAGTGCTTCAACTGGCACTTTCCATATAAGGGGCTGTGAACACATCACTGATATTGAACTACAAAATGGGAGGCTGAGAAACCTTGTTGGAAAGAAACAATGTGATTGTGCTGGAGGCAAGAGAGAACATAGCCAGTCAAACATCTCCACTCTCATCTGGTCTTGTTCCAGTGTTGCCTGTCTCTGTACATGACATCATCATCCTTCCAGTTGTAGAAGCCAGACATGGAAGGCATCCACGACACATCCTTCTCCCAGGCTCCCCACCCCACCACCCCATATGCAGTCCATTATCAGATATTGCCAGTTTTTCTGACAATCTCCATTTCCATGACTTTAATTCAAGATACAGTTATCTCTTTCCTGGCTACAGCTATATATACTTTCTGGTTGCTTGGATTCCTTTCAATATAGTTTTCTCATTGCATCCAGGATGATCTCAAAATGGTAACCTGATCATATCCACCTGCCTCCCACCCCTTCTACAACCGACACCCCTGCTTAAAGCAATCCAATGGTTTTCTGATTCTCTCTCTCATCTCTTCATGCCCCCATTACTCTGGGGATAGAGCAGTAGTGCTCTACTTACCATGATTTCTTCTGTCCCTGGTCTTGTTGTTTCCTGGACTGTCTTCCTTCTTGTCGCTTAGTTAGCACCTTAATTCCTCAGAACTCAGCTCAAGTGTCACTTCACTGGGGAAGTCTTCCCTGACTCCCATGCCCAGTTAGAGTCTATTATACACCCCCACACAACACCGTGCATTTCTCCTTCATTGCACATGTTACAGTTGTAATTTTCCATGTCTTTGATTGATGCACTTTCGTCCATTAGTTTTAAGGCTGGGTTGGATGTTGCTCCCCATTTAGCCCTACTAGTACAGGAAAAGAGTGAATGAGTAAGGCCAGGAGTCAGTGGATGCAGATGAGGGTCAACAGTGGCCAAGTCATGACAGGCCTTGTGGCCATATAAAGGGACTTGGATCTAATCCAACTAGAGCTTTCTGGATGACTCCAAACTGACAGATAAAATGGAGAGAAAGGCATTAGAGACATGTCTCTGGGACTATGTGGAAAATGACATGATGTGGGGGAGACTGAGGCAGCATCACTGAGGTAGATCTCGTCCATCAGTGACTTTCTATGACATTCATCTTTCTTATTCTGATCACATCTGACAGCTAATACCATTTTGGACTTCATTTCCTGTGGTGGGTTCAAGAGACTTTGTGGTTAATCTACATAGTATATAAAATGTAGTTCCTGTTTGTCACTTACTGCCATGTAGAAACCACTGTGGATTTTCATCACATTTTGAGAATAAATTAGGGTAATCTGATGTGATACTCACTTTGGAGCCTCCTAGAGGCTTCCTCAAAAACTTAGGCAGTCATATTTCAGACCAGTGGAAACTGAAGTACCCAAAGCCATGAGCTGGAAAGGCATGTCAAGTATATGGGGCCAAGTATCACGGGCCAAGAAATCGAAGAATGGCTTCAGTTATGAGCCAGCTTGCTCTCGTTCCTATCCTGCCTCCATCTAGCCCTGAATCAAGCTCTCATTTTTGTTTTATGAC